AGCACGTAATGCACATGTTCAAAGCAGAATATCTGACTTCAGCAGTGATTTTCAGATAAATATGTTCACTGAGCATGTTTCTGAATATCTGCACACATATGATGGTGTTTTTATGCTTTAGAAGAGTCAAAAACTCACATACAGCAGCTTTAAATAAAGTTAAAAGGTGAAAAACTTCACTGTGATTCATTTATTTGAGTGCAGACACACACACACACACTCAAATGGATGCAGCTGTTGCTTTCACGCTGTGTTCATGATCTAATGTTTATGAGTTCGTCTCTGTTTCTCCATCAGTGTAGATTAACCACAACAGCACATTTCCCAGCACTTCTTCCGTGATCAAATCTCTTTAACTTTCTTTAATGAATATTATTTGTGTTGCACCACTTTTTTTGATCTTATTAGTTAGCACTGTGACCTCACAGCAAGAAGGTCGCTGGTTTGAGCCTCGTCTGGGTCAGTTGGCATTTCTGTGTGGAGTTTGCATGTTCTCTCTGAATTCGCGTGGGTTTCCTCCGGGTGCTCCAGTTTCCCCCACAAGTCCAATCACATGTGGTACTGGTGAATTGGGTAAGCTGAAATTGATCATAGTGTATGTGTGTGTGTGAATAAGTGTGTTTTCCAGTGATGGGTTGCAGCTGGAAGGGCCTAAACAGATGCTGGAATAGTTGGTGGTTCATTCCGTTGTGGTGACCCCTTAATAAAGGGAGTAAGCCGAAAATAAAATGAATTAATGAGTAATGTGTATATATATATATATATATATATATATATATATATATATATATATACATATACATACATACATATGCATACATATCTCGAAAATACTGTGAGAATGTCCTGTTAACTCTGTTAAACATTAATGAGAAATATTTTAAGTCAAAACTATTAGCCCACTTTGATTTTTATTTTATTTTTTTACTTTTTTTTATATTTCCCAAATTATGTTTAATTTTCACAGTATTTCTGATAATATATTTTTCTTCTGCATAAAGTCTTATTTGTTCATGGCACCTGTTTCGGCTAGGATTTTTATTATTTTTTAAAAGCCATTTTAAGGTCAATATTATTAGCCCCCTTAAGAATTTTTTTTCTTCAATTGTTATACAAAGACTTGCCTAATTACCCTAACTTGCCTAGTTAACCTAATTAACCTAGTTAAGCCTTAAAATTGTCCTTAAAGCTAAATACTATTGTCAAGTTGAAAAATATCTAATAACATAGTATGTACTGTCATCATTTCATTTTAATTTTCCTTTTCCTTATTCCCTTTATTCATCAGGGGTCGCCACCGCGGAATGAACCGTCGAATTATCCATCGAATTAAAATGTTTTTTGCCCTTCCGGCTTTAACCCAGTACTGGGAAAGATCCATACATAGTCATTCACACACACACACACACACACACAAACAAAAACTATGGCCAATTAAGTTTACTCAATTAACCTATAGCGCATATTTTTGGACTGGGGTAAACCGGTGCACCCAGAGTAGTCAAATGACTATTACAAACTGCAAAATTATAAACTGCAACATTTGAACTAAATTGAATACGTTTTATGACTCTCTTGGGCGGGTGGCATGATGGCTTAGTTGTTAGCTCTGTCGCCTAGCAGCAGGTAGGTCGCTGGTTCGAGTCCTGGCTGAACCACTTAACATTTCTATAAGTTTGCATGTTCTTTCCATGTTGGCATAGGTTTCCCCTGGGGGCTCCAGTTTCCAAAGTCCAAAGAATGCGCTATAGGTTAATTGAATAAACTACATTGGCCATAGTGTTTGAATATGTATGTGAACGAGTGTGTATGGATGTTTCACAGTACTGGGTTGCAGCTGGAAGGGCATCCGCTCTAAAAAAAACATATGCTGTAATAGTTGGCGGTTCATTCCGCTTTGGCGACTCCTAATGAATAAAGGGACTAAACCGAAGGAAAATGAACAGATCAATGACTCTTGATTTTTACTCTTTACTCAAATTTGATTTGTTTTCTTCTCTAACATTCAT